ACGTGTCAGGGTGCTGTACCACGGTTGTTTTAGTAACAATGAATACAGATCACGTATCGTATGAAAACAACAATATATAGAAACAGAACCTCAAATTGCAAAAACACCTGGACAAAAATACTCAACTAAAAATGACTCAAGCCCGCGTTAAAACGGGACTAAAAATTCTCAAAAAGTAAAACTGGCCGACCAGTTGGGTCGACTGTACGATACAACGAATGGGAAAAAGCCTATGAAATATCTACTGAAATTTCACTCTTAACTATATGACGCTTCGAAGGTGTGGCCCATTTGAGGTCACAAATTGAAACAAATAGTGAAAGTGCATATTTCACTATATATAGTTTGAAATATCTATTGATATTTTACAATTAGCTGAGCAAAATTACTTTCGATCCCGAGCATTTTGAAAATTCAAACCGGGCGCTAACGTACCGCAAGGTCAGGTTGCACAGGACTTGTAGTGGCCACAGGCCAATAAAGCGTCCAGAATTCCTTCGGTGGTGTGCTCACGAGTGTGCATCCACCTCTTCAATTGATCGGTTTCTTCTCCTGAATGCAAACAGAGAGAAAGAGAAACCTTAATTCTCGCCGTGTCGGCGAAACACTTTCATTGTGAATGTGTTCTATATTGCATACAAAAAATAGTTATGAACTTAACGGTCGCATCCTGCTTAGTACTCCTCGTTTGGAAACAATTATAATCACCTCTTATCCAAAGCCAGTTTGAAGGCGTGGATACTAGGCAAGTTGACTAGTTCTTCAGGTAGTCCATTCCACCCATTTGCTATTCTATTGCTGAAGTAATTGGACCTCACCCCTAACTTAATCCTTTCTTCATCAGTTCGTGATCGTGACCCTCAGTGCCAGATACGGGACATCAGTGAAGAGTTCCTCAGGGGGAATCCCAGAGAAATCCCTCCTAATTTTGAATGCTTCTATGAGGTCTCCTCTAATTCGCTTTCTTTCTAGCGAGAATAGATAAAGGTCCCTTAATGTTTCCTGGTATGATTTCCCCTTTTGTCCCTCTACCATTCTTGTAGCTAGTCTCTGCACTTTCTCCAGGCAGGCAGCGTCTTTTTTGTGCAGAGGTGCCCAGGCTTGGACACAGTATTCTAGATGAGGTCTTTCTATCGCCTTGTATAAGGGGACGAAGGTTTCCGGTTTTCTGCAAGAAAGAGCAGATCTTAGCCGGAAAAGTTCTCCCCGTGCATTGCGAGCTGCGATTTCGCATTGGCTGCCCCAGCTGACATCCGAATTCATTACTATTCCAAGATCCTTGGCAGTTTCTGCCGGTTTGACTTCGAACACTCTCCACGTTCCGACAGCAACTAATGGATCTGTTTGCTTGATCAATAGTTGACACAGCCGCATTTAGTGCCTAGTCCTACTTATTTGACCATCCAACCACCCGTTTAATGTCGCCCACTAGGATAGCTCTGCCACTCGATCCCACCACCTTCACGTCGTCCGCGAAGACGAAACAGGATGAATTGGTTAACCCCACCAAGTCGTTGATAAATAAGAGAAAGAGTAACGGTCCGAGCACCGAACCTTGAGGCGCTCCACTGGTCAATCGAATGACCTGAGAACTGGCCTCCCCTACTCCCACTGCGAAGGTTTGATTTGTGAGAAAAGCGGTTAACCACCTATGCAGGTTTCTTCCTAGTCCAAAGCTTTTGATTTTGTGAAGGAGCAATCTGTGGTTCTTAGAGTCGAAAGCTTTGCTAAAATCGAGGTAGGAAACCTCAACGGTATGACCCTCACCTAGCCTCTCTGTGACTTCATCCAGGTAGCACAGAAGGTTAGTGAAACAGGATCTATCTTTTAAGAATCCGTGCTGCGCCCCACTTAGTAGGGTGTAACGTAATGTATGTTGACACATGCTCCCTAATCAGCTTCTCTACGCATTTGCAGCGGATGCTGATGAGGCTTACTGGTCTATAGTTCCTTATGTCGGATTTCTGATCACCCTTGTGAAGCGCTACCACATAATTGTCTTCCAGTCACTAGGTAGAACTCCGTTCGCTAGTGACACTTGGAAGAGCAGGCTCACCGGTGTGAAAAGGACATCCGCTAGTAGTTTAAGGATTGCTGGATGAATCCCGTCTGGCCCTGGTGCTTTGTTTACATTGAGTTCCGACAGAACCCTGCGCACCTCCTCTGGTGTCACTACTATGTCCTCAATAGTCTGAATCTGTTGACCCCTCCAGACGGGATAACTCACCTTATATTTTCCCTGAGCACACTTCCAAAGTATCTCCCTAGTACTATGGTATTCTCCTGGTCCGTTATGATTACTTCATCGCCCTCCAGGTTAATGGCGCCTATTTCGTCCTTAAGCACCCCCTTGGACTGCACGTAACTATAATACCTTTTCGGTTTTGCCCTCGCATTTTCGGCTGGATATAGTTCGTATTTTTCTTTTCGCTTCGAATAACGAGAACAGCCTCGTTCCTGTGTCCTACGTAACACATCCAAGACAGCGGCAATCCTACCTCCCGGTACCGTTTCCAGCTGGCGTTACGACGGCGTATTGCCTTTCCAATGGAAGCCTTTGACCAAGGTGGTTTACCAAATGACTTTCGCAGTTTCAGAGGCGCGAACTCATCCTGCAATGCAAGTAAGTTCTCCTTAATTATTTTCCATNTTCCATACATCCTCTACTACAAATCTATCTTCGGCTGGCTGCCAGACGAGTTCAGCTGCCTTCCTTTGCAGTCCATTTACATATAATTTTCCGAAGCAGCGCAATTTGCGATCATGTGGTTTCGTTACCTCTGTTTCTAGTGTGAAATTATTAACCACTTGGTCGCTCTTTCCAATTGGGGGGTAGTAGCCGACTTCCTGCACATCCCTATCGTACCGTGTGATGACAAGGTCCAGCAGAGATGCTTGCTGTCCCGACCTAAAACGCGTATTTTCTAATACGTGCTGGTACAGTGCTTTGAGGTGCAGCCAATCTACAAGGTCCTGCTCCTGTATATCGTTCGACAACTATCGATGTCCCATTTTATACCTGGTAGGTTGAAGTCCCCCAGTATTACTAGCTTCTGAGGCATTCGTGCCAGCATATTCAGTGCTGATTGGAGCTGCTCGTCCTCCGTTTCCATCGCAATAGGACTCCTATATATACATACTATGTTGAATTTGTGCCCCTCGGCGACGATGGTGACTGAGCACATCTGTATGTTGCTCGTGCAGACTTGAATATCTG